GATCCTCTTCTTTGCCCACAGACACCCTCAAAACAACCCCCCAAGCAAACTGACATATAGCCACTGCATGTGAGAGTGTGTGAATATACCAAGAGGTGTTTCTCCCATCTGTTCTAGTTCCTTCATTGTGTATCGCCTAGCATCAACTGAAGGGCTCAGGCAAGTGGAGGACTGGTGGCCACTGGGGTTGGTGGAATGGTGGGCAGTGAAGCTAATGGCAGGATAACTCAGTGGTAATAAAAGGCAGATCAAGAAACTGGATGCATTTCCCATTCACACCTCTTTCTTAGGTGGCCAGAAGGACATGTCACACCTGCAACTCGCTTCATCCTTTACTACTGACTACACTGTGTGAGGCACACAGGAGTTGGGTGTTGGACAGCATCTGGAGGACCAAAGGTTCACCACCCCCTGTACCAAATATTGGCAGCCTTGGGAGCTCTGGCTCTAAGTGACAGCAGTAGCACCCCGTTCTTTATCCACATCCTGGGTCTTTCATTATATCTGTTAGAAATGGCAGAAATCATTTGACAATAAAGTATTCCCCCTCAAGTGGAAAATATAGACATGAACATTCAGCCCAGGCTTGAATTTTCTGAGAACTGGAAACATTCCACCAAAATTTAAAGTTTTACAGTGCAAGATCATAAGAAAATCAGGATTTCTCCTCCCCCTCACCCATTTCATTTCTGTTAAATAGCTGTTTCATTTTATAGTAATTGTGCTGTTCAGTACACAAATCACCCATTTCATTTCTATTAAATAGCTTTTCTGTTTTAAAGTAATTCTGTTGTATAGTACATCAGCAATGTACAACATAAACAGCACTTTAGCTGCAATAAATACTAAAATATTAACTGCCTTCTAGGGACCATCAAAATTTTGAATAATCATCAAGGACGCACAAGCACTCTGAGGAAATCCAAGGAGAAAGTAGATCTTTACAGCAAAATGTACAGTTTCCAGCAGAAAGATTTGAAAGTTCTTATTTATAGCAATGCAAGCTTGCTTTCATCCATAGGGACACAATCCAATCCCTCCACTTTGTACTGCTCTGGGGTGTGTGTAGCAGGGTTGGACTGAGCTGTGATGTTTCTCTACCCAGCCCTATTGCCCTCTGTTGACATCGAGCTCCCCCTTCTGCCCACCAAAGAGGAGGGAGAAAGTGATGTAGTCAGCTGCTCTCCACAGGTAGCAACCAGCAATAAGCCCTGAAAAAATGGTGTGGAGAGAGGCCAAGCCACCCCAGGATCTGTCAGATCCCAAGCCAACCCCACAACCATCATGTGACTACCTTGGGACCAATTAGGACCTGATTACTGCAACAACTCTATATGAATGAGCTGTGGGCTTTTATGCTCCTCTGCCCTCTGCCCATTTGCACACTTAAGGAAGATCAGTAGCTTTTACCAGAGCTTTGCATAACATCTAAATTGGGGGGGGAGGGACTGTTGTTTCTTTAAAGCAGGGGTGGAAAACCTGCAGCTCAAGAACCACAAGTGGTCCTTGCGCGAACTTCATGGGAGGGAGAAAAAGAGAATGGGAGGAGAAAACCAGGAAGGACGGAAGCCATGTTGCATCGAGGAATGGAAGGTGTGGGGGGAAACCCCCAGCAACTGATGAGTTCGGTACTGTGATAAGAGTGAACTGCCCTTCCTCTGGCAGGCAGCAGGATGAGGAAGAAGGGAGGGAGGGAGAAGAAAGGGAGAGAGGGATGGGTGGATGGCCTTGCCATTTTTGGTTCTGGTCCCACTTGCCACTGGCCCCTGACAGATTATACCCAAGGGAATGCAATCTGTGAAAGGGAAAAAAATGAATGATTTGCCCACTCCTAGTTTATAAAGTATACATTAAATTATAGTTAGCAAGAGCAAGCCAAGATCAAACCATGGTTTCATGCTTGTTCTCACTAATTAGAATTTCAAAAAAAATCACAATTCTCCACATCTGGACTTTACACATGACTGTAGTTACTTTAGAATTAGAAAAGGAAGCTTACAGTCTCCTCTGATGCACAAAAGAGAGGTGGGGGAGAGTGTAAAAGCCCAGTGTTTGCCAAAGCTCATTTATAGTGGGAACCCATGACTTCCCATTTTGTCTAGACTGGGCAGCTGCAAACAGGATGTGAAACCCTAGTTTTACATAGGTTTCCAAACTAAAGTTTACATATAGTTAAGGATTACATCTGCATCAAGCAAACCATAGTTAAGACAGTTTTTCTCTTCAGCTTCTCTGCTTGCAAGGTGTGAAGTAGATTTCTCCCTATATGTCCCTACTGGGGGAATGGTTAAACTCTGCATGCAAAACCATAGTTTCATCTGTAGTTATAGCAACATCAACTATAGTTAGCATTAATCATTATTAAGTGCTGTGGGTGCACAGGATTGATAGTTTTTAAATATGCAGGAAGGCATTTAAAAGTCATCTAAGTCTGTATCAATGCCCCTTTATTTCAAAGCCATTTGCCATATGATGAAACATGTTCAGTCTAGCAAGAAAATAATGTATTATAAAGCAGAATCACATATTTATATGTTTCCATAAGTTGTCAAGTGAGAAATACCATCAGATGGCAAAGTACCCTAGAACTGACAACCTCCCAGAGAGATGTCAGTCCAACATAGCTTTTAAAAATCTCTAAGGATGGAAAATGAACATCTTTCCCAAAGTACAATGTTTCAATAATTCTGCAACCATTACCTAGTAGCAGATAACAGTGATGCCCTTCCTGGACTGTACCACTTTGGACTAATGGAAAGATTCAAAGGTGTCAGTACGCTCCTATTTTAATTTTAAACAATCTTCCTCATACATGGGAAGCTATTCCACAAGGGAGAAAACTAGGCTAACTTCCTTTTCTCCAGCATTCCAACCTTGGCTTGTGTACAGTCTCTTTTTCATATATGGGATCATTCAAACTTATAGACACCTGCAGCCCGAAGTGGTTCAGCCAAACCTGTTTCTTCATAATTGAATAAGCTCTCGGGCAAGATATACAATACACCCCCCAAGGAAGAAACTGCTCCACTGCCCAACAAATCTTATAACGGATTTTTCCAGATGTTTAACCTTTACCTGTTCCCCTAACCTCAGTGGCAGGTGCCAAGAATAATAGCACATTGTTTCAGAATATTGCAATATCATGACAAATGCAGTTACATACAGTAGAATCAGAACAGATTCCAAGAGTTAAAAGGAGAACAATCAATATACTAAAAGAAAGAGGAAATGTTTTGTGAACTACAGCTGATAATAAAAATTCCAGCTTTAAACAAATGTATCGCACTAGAATAACATTTTTCTAAAATAAGGCAGTGTCAGCTGGATACTTTGCTAAAACAATGGTTTGGTTGCTGCACAGATCAGTTTTCTTTTTAGTTATTTCTTGCATATTAGGAAAAGATAAACAACACATTTGGTACATGACTTGTATCAGATATTTAGGCAACTGAGCCGCCTGGATCATTGGAAATTTTCCAAGTTACAGTGTGCCCAGAACTAAGAGTAGGAATATTTATTAACAAAAGGTTCAAAATCCTCCTGGTAAATCTATAAGAAAACTCTGTATACAGCTACTTCTCTTGCAAAATAAGAAAGCAATGCAAAGTGAGAGCATTAAAGGAGACAACCCACTAATCTGATCTTTGATGATAAGACAACACACTAAGTCAAGCACAGATATGAATTTGTCTCCTTTGAGACAGGAGATCACCCACTGAGATAGTCGTCTTGAGGAAATGTTTTACTATGATCTGCAAGTTTAGTTTGGCTTGGATTACCTAAAACCTTTCAGCACATCTTTTCTGTTATCATCAAACACAGGGACAGAAAGCTAACTGGAAAGAAGGCAGTACACCTGAATTGAGGGGTGGAGGAGGGAAGGAGAGAGAGAGACACCCAGCATGGTCCAGTAATTCAACATCCCAAAAAGCTTCCCTTCTATGCAAAAGGACATGAAATAGAGTATTCTGTTGCTTCCCCCCTACACTCCCTGTCTGGGAAGGAGGACAGTAGCACATTTCTCACCTGTTTCCACTTCCCACCTAGCACAGGTTGTAAACATCCTCCTGATTTTGTTGGGATGGATGAGATGGAACGAAGTGTACAGCCCGCTCCACCCCTTCTTTGAAAATAAATAAATAACAGGACTAAAGAAGGTACAAGGAAGACCAGCATGAGTTCAAGATGGATGAACACCCTCATGATGGACATAAGCAAAAAAGAAGGGAGCGCTGAAAGGAGCAGAAGCTGTACCCACCCCAAAGCAGGACTTAGGAGGGCACAGCACCAAACTTCACATCTGGGGAAGTTTCGCAAGAGATGCACCGCATCCAGGGACACTGAAGGGAACTGAATCAATGAAGCAAGAGGAAGCAGCCCTTGAGGGAGAGCAGCAGTCCAGGGCGTTTGAAGGGGGAAGAGGGGTTCTTCAATAAAGGGACCCCAAGTGAGGGGAAAGCACCCCAGTATTTAGAGGGTGCCCAAAGCCTCAGAGCCAGGACTACAGCACCCCCAGTGACCAGAATGCTATGGTCCACTGGCGAAGGGGGACCCTGTGTAGATGTGTCTGTGTGTGGCGTTGAAGATGTTTAATGGAGAAGGAATCCGCATCCTAAGGCTTGGGAACACTGAAAGAGCCAAAACCCCGAGTGAGTGAGTCGCGTGAGTGTTTAAGACTAGCTGAGGCGAACAGGAGCACCCAAACCACCATTTGGGGGTGAGCAATAAAGCTACTGGAACTCTATGGGCATTTAAATGAGGGCTTCTTCAACCCCCTCAGGGGCGGTGTAAGACCCAGAGCCGGAGAGGAGGCTGAATGGCGGGGCAGCAGTAGCAGCTGAGGCAAAACCGGCCCTGCCGCCGTGTGGAGGCTTCCAAAGGGGGCGCTTTCGGCACGCGGGTTGGCGGGGCGAGGGGGGGGGGAGCTAGTCGCGGCCGCCGCCGCCGCCACGCGGAGCTGAGGCGCTCGAGGCGGGGCCAAGCGAGAGTCCCGGGCTTACCCTCGGAGCAGCGGGAGGCAGCCCAGCCGCGCTGGCTCGCCTTCCTCGGCGTCGGCAGCTTCTTCAGAGCAGCTGAGGTAACTTTCCCAGGAGCCGAGAGGCCGGCGGCGGCACCAGCGCCTCTTCGCAGGCGGCGCCCAAGTTGCAGCCCGAGCTTCCCCGGCGCTCGAGGTGGCGCGAGGCAGTGCGGCGAGCTCGGACGCTGCAGCCGCCGCTCGGCGCTCCCTCGCTGCGTGTGCCGAGATCCCTTTGCCCGCAGCAGCCGGGAGAGCTGGAGTCGCCAGCTCCAGCCAGCCGCGGCTCCACCTCCCAGCCCATGCCCCCTCCCTATCTCCCCCCTCCCCTGCCGCCATCCCTTTCCCTCCCAGCCGCCGTGCCTTCCCTTCCTCGCGCTGCATTGTTCCCTCGCTGTGCAGAGGAGCAGGCGCGTCTCTCGGCTCTGCGGGCACACGCGCCTCCTGCTCTGGGTTCTTGCATATCCTCGGACCCCTTCTCTGTTTGACTTTGCCCTGCCCGGATCACGGGCAACCAGTTGCTCGACCTCCCGGAGAGCTTGATGAAGTTCCCTGCTCTTGACTTCGGCTGCCTCCCGCCCTCGGAAAACTTTTAGCTCTCCTTCCAGATCTATGAAGCGGCACTTGGGAAGAAGGGGAAAGAGGTGGTTGGAAACACCGAGCAGGGGGACACCTTGTTGGAGGTACACTGTAGTATCCCAGAGGGCGCTTTAGAGGTACCTCAACATGCTATTGATGCAATAGTGCCTTAGTGGTGGATTTAGACGAGATCCTCCACACGCTGTTTGCTGTTCTGCGGTGCTTCCCCAACCTTGCTGCATTATTGCATTCAGGAAGGGCACTTTTGCACTGTAGTGCAACCAAAGTAAGACAAGTTCCCCTGCCCACAAAAAAATGCAATTTGGGCACCTCCAGGTGTCCTTATAGCCCATTCATGATAGTGCTCATGCTGGTTGTTGGCACCTGTCTGTCTCGGGAGACAATGGAGGAGTGCGCCTTTGCGGGTGAAGTCAAACTGATGGACAGTTATAGCACCTGCTGTGGCTGTAGAGACTGATGGGGGTGAGACATGTTTTGTTGCAGTTGGGCAGATGAAGGCATCCAGGTACATTATGGTCTTCTGCCTGCTCTCCTCTCACTGGTCATTTCTCCTCTGGTCACTACTGTGGATACACAACCTGACTGTCTCCATACTCTGTGGTTGTCAGCAAGGAATTCCCATGTAATGGTTGATGTTGCCAGCCTTTGTTTCACATTTGATGACATCCTTGTAAATCAGAGTTGGCCTGGTGCCTGTAGAGCACGTCTTTGGGGACCCTGTCCTCTTCCATTCTGTGGACATGACCAAGTCAGTGTAGATGTTGCTGAGACAGGAGTGCAAACATGCTGGGAATGAGGTTTCAATATTGCTTGTGCCTGCCAACATTTCAATCAGTGTACATCCTGTAGCTTCCCACTGGGACCCTTTTTATACCGCAATTGTTCTGCGGTTGTTGGGGTTTTTTGTCTGATTTTTGTTGTGCTGTAGTGCAAGAGTGACCCTCCAGATGGTCACAATCTGGTAACATCAGAGAAATATTGTGAAACAACTGTTAAAGTGGAATGATGTGTGGATGCATTCAGGATAAATCTACCAAGAATGTACTATTATGCATCGATAAGATGTTGCAGAATACACCCACAAAAGACACTAGTCTGGTGAGACCCAAAAGTCCACTTCAAAATTGTTTATTTTTAGTATTTTGATATACTGGCAACTTCAGCTGGCACATTTGAAGTGAATTTGGCGCTACAGATCCCTTTCCTCTTCCCAAACAACATATTTTTTGCGGTCAACAAAATGACAGGAGAAATGCATTTGAAAGTGTGAGGTGATAGTAACATCATATAACTTCCATGAAGATCGGAACAGATGCTCAATTAACAGTGACATTGTGTAACCTTTGTGCAAATTTTGCCAGCACACCCAGGAGTGAAGACACATGCGACAAAATTATGGTAGAAAGGTCACAACTTTATTAACTACAACTTGAATACGGATCTACAGGGAAATAAAACCTTCAAGCAAGCAACTGAACAATTGATAATACTGGATGGGTAAAGCCCTCTGCTTCTTAATCTGAGCAACACAATCCTGGCTTGACGACCAGTATCCCTTGGCAGAATGATATGAAGCCTTCATTGCCCACTCACCATGAAGATGAGTGGAAAAGGTACCCATTGATCCACTCTCCCCCCTCTCTGCTTAGAATTCAACTGGTTGAGCTCCCCAGACCCAAGAACATCAAACCAAGCAATCCACCTGAGCTGCCCAACAATAGGAGTCACTCGGCCAGATAACCCCCACTGTTGGTACCTCAGAGTGCTTATCAAAGGTAGTAAAGGTCTTTTTAACTGGTTTCCCACATTAAATGCTGAGTTGTGACAAAAACAGGGAAGGAGAAAGCTAAACCACCAAATTTAATGTATGCTACCAAAAACTGAGAAGTGCATCTAAGACATTAGCTAAAATGAAGTCCAAGGTTGCATGACCAAGTATCCAGGTTAGCGGGTCATTTGTCTGTGGAAAAGTACCAAGCTGACATTAGAATATGACATCTTATTGTTTTAAAAATAAGAAAAAGGAAGTGACAATGGCATGTAAGGAAAGAGGAACATAGGCTACGGTACTTGAGAAACTCTACTTACTCTCAAGATCTACAAAGAGCACACAAGAATGCTCTAATGTTGTGGTTTTTGACCGGAACATCTAGATTTCTGGACCTCAGCTGTTTTGGGTTGGCATGAAAAGGGAAGTAGCATAATTTTGAAGATATTAGCAAGATCAGGTGAATACATAACCAGAATGAGCTCATGCTGGGAAAGGCTACTAGAAAGCTGTGGTGTAAGTCAAAGTCACATGCAGAAACGGGGTAGTCAGAGAGCTGGTGTGGTTCTGCATTTGAGGTGGACCACCTTATATGGAATCCAAGGGTCAAGAACTGTATAAAATGGAGCTTGTGGGCAGGCGTTATTCTTTTGGACCTGCACCACCAACACTGTGTGCTATGAGTTGGAGAATATGGGATCCTGGGCTGACAGATCACCATCTCTACTATGTAAGAAATGTTTCTTGTTTCTTCTTTATATGCTTGTATGATTGCATTATTTTAATACTTGTGCAAAGTTGTGTGCATTTATCTTTCAACTGCAATAAAACCTGTTCCAGTCATAATCCTATTTGTTCTGACGGCGCTGATTGCACTGCTGCTGCTGCACTGTGAGTTGGGAAGGCCGCTCCCTCCCCAGGCTGATTCCACCAGGCCCAGGGGGCGGGGCCTAGACTGACTCACCACTGCCACAGCTTAAGAGGCCGCACGAGGCACCGGAACACCACTGCTGCTGCTGCACTGTGAGTTGGGAAGGCCGCTCCCTCCCCAGGCTGATTCCACCAGGCCCAGGGGGCGGGGCCTAGACTGACTCACCACTGCCACAGCTTAAGAGGCCGCACGAGGCACCGGAACACCACTGCTGCTGCTGCACTGTGAGTTGGGAAGGCCGCTCCCTCCCCAGGCTGATTCCACCAGGCCCAGGGGGCGGGGCCTAGACTGACTCACCACTGCCACAGCTTAAGAGGCCGCACGAGGCACCGGAACACCACTGCTGCTGCTGCACTGTGAGTTGGGAAGGCCGCTCCCTCCCCAGGCTGATTCCACCAGGCCCAGGGGGCGGGGCCTAGACTGACTCACCACTGCCACAGCTTAAGAGGCCGCACGAGGCACCGGAACACCACTGCTGCTGCTGCATTGTGAGTTGGGAAGGCCGCTCCCTCCCCAGGCTGATTCCACCAGGCCCAGGGGGCGGGGCCTAGACTGACTCACCACTGCCACAGCTTAAGAGGCCGCACGAGGCACCGGAACACCACTGCTGCTGCTGCATTGGGGGTTTGGGAAGGCCGCTCCCTCCCCAGGCTGATTCCACCAGGCCCAGGGGGCGGGGCCTAGACTGACTCACCACTGCCACAGCGTAAGAGGCCGCACGAGGCACCGGAACACCACTGCTGCTGCTGCATTGGGGGTTTGGGAAGGCCGCTCCCTCCCCAGGCTGATTCCACCAGGCCCAGGGGGCGGGGCCTAGACTGACTCACCACTGCCCACAGCGTAAGAGGCCGCACGAGGCACCGGAACACCACTGCTGCTGCTGCACTGTGAGTTGGGAAGGCCGCTCCCTCCCCAGGCTGATTCCACCAGGCCCAGGGGGCGGGGCCTAGACTGACTCACCACTGCCACAGCTTAAGAGGCCGCACGAGGCACCGGAACACCACTGCTGCTGCTGCATTGTGAGTTGGGAAGGCCGCTCCCTCCCCAGGCTGATTCCACCAGGCCCAGGGGGCGGGGCCTAGACTGACTCACCACTGCACAGCTTAAGAGGCCGCACGAGGCACCGGAACACCACTGCTGCTGCTGCATTGGGGGTTTGGGAAGGCCGCTCCTCCCCCAGGCTGATTCCACCAGGCCCAGGGGGCGGGGCCTAGACTGACTCACCACTGCCACAGCGTAAGAGGCCGCACGAGGCACCGGAACACCACTGCTGCTGCTGCATTGGGGGTTTGGGAAGGCCGCTCCTCCCCAGGCTAATTCCACCAGGCCCAGGGGGGCGGGGCCTAGACTGACTCACCACGGCCACAGCTTAAGAGGCCGCACAAGGCACCGCACGAGGCACCACTGCTGCTGCTGCATTGTGAGTTGGGAAGGCCGCTCCCTCCCCAGGCTGATTCCACCAGGCCCCAGGGGGCGGGGCCAGACTGACTCACCACCGCCACAGCTTAAGAGGCCTCATGAGGCACTGGGGACCATTGCTGCGGCTCCACCGTGGGGGTTGAGGAAGGCCGCTCCCTCCTGTAGGCACACTCTTCCAGGCCTAGGGGGCGGGGCCCACACTCGCCACCGCTACTGTTTTAAGGACACTGATGTTGCACGCGGCAAATGCTTAATATGTTTTTATATATTTTAAAATGTTTTATAGGGGTTTTTATTTTTTATTTTGTTGCCCCACCGTGAACGGTGGTTTTTATTGATGTATTTCTATTTTGTTCTGTTTTAGTTTGGTTTGGGGTTGGCTACTGAGTGGGGTGGGGACTTGTTGTGTTGGTACAATTGTTTTTGATTTGACTGTTTCTATTCTGTAAATGGAGGTTGGTTTGAGGCTTGGGATTGCTACCGTAGTGGGGCGAGGGAGGTATGGCGGTGGGGGCAGATGGCATAGGCGAAGGGGA